GTCAGGGGTCAGAGGGAATTTACTTGCATAAGGTCACGGGTGAGAGGGACGAGACGCGCCACTACGATGAAGCATTTACCCTGTATTTTCAGCAAAATCATAGAACATCGTTTATCTCAGCTTGGCTTTCCTTTGGAAATCATTAAACGCGCCGTTTAAATCAATTACAAACTCCAATAATCCACCCGAACTCCGAGCATTAGCCAAAGCAAACAACTTCACTTGATCCAATAACTTCTGTGCCTCTCTGATTGAGATAAATTCCGGCGTATTCACTGCCTCAGATTCATCTTTGTGGTGCTTAGCTTGATTCGAAACGAATTCATCTTCTGACCAAAAAAGACTTGATACAAAATTTTTAAATAACCCACTTATTCATCATCAAGTTCCAAACAGGTGATTTCTTACTAAAAGGGTCATCAATGGGCACAATGATTAAAATCCTCAATCAAATAGCATTTATCCTCTGGTGGCTGCATCACCTATCTAATCAATGTGGATTTGAACTCATGAAAGCGTTGATCCGTACGTGCGGATGCACAGACCCAGGCTTTCTTGATCAGATACATGACCGTGAGAATGTCCACCTCGGCTTTCATGATAAGTTGCTCATCTTCGATCAAAGACAAAAAATATTCCAATAAATGTTTCCGGAACGAACATTTAAAAGATCAAATCACGCCTTGATTCGTTGGTTGTAACATTGAAGAACAGTTCGGAGGCAGCCAATTTGACGTTGGAGAATACTGCTTGATTACGGCAAGGGGCGTTGACCATAAATTGTAAAACAGAGCGCCTTTGAGAAACCATTTTGCGATTGACATCGGACAGCCAACTGTGAGGTAACATAGAAGCCATCCATGCATTCTTTGAAGAACTATAACTGCTTGGAAGGCTTTTTCTATCTACACCTCGGAAGCATCATAGAGTTTGAAACTTTCCAATCACCAACGGCGATAACTTTTCTCCAATCATGCCCCCAGAAAGCANCTTTGGATTTCTTGCACCCAGAAACTGTCTTTCGATTCAGACGTAATGTTCTTTCTAAGAGCTGCTTGTAATGCAAAGCTGTTTCATCTAAATTGAAAATATCACAGTCAGCATATCAACTGCGGCGACCCCGCTGGAAACGCGTCCACTGCATCATGTGGTACCGCTAAACCTTCCGCACACCTATAAAGTAATGCACATGTTGCTTGTTTCTTACTTTGTACGTTTGAATACCATGTCTGTCTGACCAAGAGCGAAACCAACCTTTGGAAGCTTCAAAGTCATTATAATGCAATCTTTGTGCTACCTGGATTGCCATCTTACGTACGATGCTCTCCACCATTCGGATCTCTCCCTGCTTTCCCGTCAGCAGTAAACCAAACCAAAGTTGCCTCATTCAATGCCTTAAACTTTTCGTTGGTTTTCAGGTGGCATCTTTCCTCAGATGCTCCAGTGTTTAAACATTCCCCGATAGTCGTTCGATGGGATGCAATATCGAAGACAGTTTTCGTGATATTCCAAGTGATTTGGCTACGGAGCTCTGAGTTGCACCTGGCTGTTTCAGCACTTCCAACACATTCTTCTCTCTGATCGATAAGCGCTGGCACATTTTGACGTCAGATTACACTATCTCCGATCACTTACATCGCAAGGATTATCCGATCAGTGAACAGTTCCGTGAACGCATCACACAAGGTGCAACGCCATTGGTTGAGTGCGACATTTCAGGGTGGATGGTCAATGGTCGTCCCGAACATCGGTCAACGACCAAGTGAGTACGTATCAGAAACTGCAACATATTGAGGGGTGTGACATCGCATAGTCAGAAACTGCGTTATTAAGCATATGGTTGGTTTGGGTTTTCGAAAAAGTGGAAAGATATTGGAAAATGCGACTTCTCAGGGGTGCGATAGAGCAGTAGATTGACTGCACTGCCTTCCTGCGCAACATTTAGACACATGAACGCATCCCCTCATCTTGGGGCGAATCACTGATCGTTCCCATTTTCAAGAAAGGATCTCGCAACGATTGCAAAAGCCACCGTGATAAGTTTTGTCCCAATCGTCACTCAAGTGTCGGCCTGTCATACTTCGATGTCTGACTCCTTTAGGAGAGATCAACATCCGTGAACAGCAAGCTGGATTCCGGCCCGACCGTAGATGTATTGATCAAATTTTTACGTTGCGTCAGGTCCTTGAGCTGCCACTGTCGACCAATGATCGCAGTGTTCCTTGACCTGGAAGGAGCCTTCGACTCATTTGACCGCGAAGCTCTGATGGGTTTCCTTCTTCTCAAAGGAATGTCAGTCAAGTCAAGAAGCGGCTTTAATTCTCCCTATAGGGGATGAACATTCAGCTACTACACAATCACTGTTCTTTGGAAATTACATGGTAACAAGACGTATGATGATACGTTACATATACAAAAAGCCAATTTAGCAAAGATTTTGTCTAAGAGTTCCAATGACAAGATCAGCGTTGGTAAGAAACCGTGCCAAGTACGGTATTATAGAAGACTTGTATGTAGTGGTGCGTGCTGCTATATGTTTATATATGAAACGAGTGCTAGATGTGGAGACACATTGACTAAGATGAGGGTACAGTGGG